TTGTTCCATTGGTTAATTGTTCTAATTGTCAGGAAGTTTCTCCTTAGTTCTAGGTTGCTTCTGTCCTTGATTAGTTTCCATCTATTACTTCTTGTCCTGCCTTCAGGCTCCTTGGAAAATAGCTTGACTCCCTCTTCTTTGTGGCAGCCCCTGGAGATACTGTAGTACTGTTATCATGTCCCCCCTCATCCTTCTCTTCATTAAACTAGACATGCCCAATTCCAGCAGCCTTTCCTTATATGCTTTAGCCTCCAGTCCCCTAATCATCTTTGTTGTTCTTCTCTGTACTCTTTCTAGAGTCTCAGCATCTTTTTTACATCTTGGTGACCAAAACTGGATGCAGTATTCCAAGTGTGGCCTTACCAAGGCCTTGTAAAGTGGTATTAACACTTCATGTGATCTTGATTCTATCCCTCTGTTAATGCAGCCTAGTACTGTGTTGGCCTTTTTGGCAGCTGCAGCACACTGCTGGCTCATATTTAAGTGATTGTCCACTAGGACTCCAAGGTACCTCTCACAGTTACTACTATTGAGCAAGGTACCCCCTATACTATACCTGTACATTTGGTTTTTAATAGTATAACCAGGGGTGCCCCTGGTGCCATGCCAAAATATCTTGGACAGCACTTACAAAATGATTATTGGCACGGCCATGGCTGGGTTATGACATAATATTTCAATTTCCAGATCAATGCGAATTGATCTATATTAAGTTATCCATCCCCAGTGTAGAGAGAGCACTGAATAATTTCATAAAACTGGGAATCCTGAGCATTTCTCTCAATCTCAAATCCCTGTTCATCCTTCGCCTCTTGCTTGAAACGGACACATTTACTTGGCATAGAAACTGGACATGTAACTATTTAATCTTTATTAGCTTGCTGTTAATAAAGCCTGGTTTTGTCAACTGCAATATTCAAGAACCATATTATTTACAAAATAAAGATCTTTTAAAATCACCTCTTGTACTCGGCTTGCCCAACAGATTCTAATGTATTGCAGACAATAAGAAAGACAGTAGTTTTTTTTTCTTTAGTTGTAGTCAAACAAATAGGAAAAGCAATATTAAAAATGGGTGTCAGACATATCCTTTGGAATGCTGCCATTATTGATTTCAGTCTGAAATATATGAAGTTTGCAGTTGAGCCATAAACAATTGCACTCTGATCACAGGTATGAAATACAAAATCTCAGAGAAAGTTTAATGAAATCTATAACAAGTGAGGGCTATTGGATCTTGGTTGCAGAAATCTTGATGATCACTCTGTAGCAGGAAAGAAATATAAAATAGCTTTTTGTCTCGCCTTCAAAAGGTCATCCAGATTTTTTAAGCTCAGATAGTCCTAGCAAAGGTCTTTGCCTCAGAGCTGAGCCGAGCCATGTCTTTTGAAAAGTCAAGCTTTACTCTTTGATCTATTTTAGTCTTAAGTCTCTCGTTCCATCAGTCATGTTGTTATGCTGTGGATTTTGTCAGTTTCCCAAGGGAGAAACTTGGCTTGTGTGACATTGATGCTGGTAAATTGGGAGATGTAATGTTTGTTGTTCTTACTCTTGCTGTCTCTGTGTTCCCAGACATGTTGGTCTGGGTAATGGCAGATAAGGCTACAGGGAAGGGAAATTGGTAAAAATTAAAAATTACACTGGTTGGTCTCTGCTTGCACTGAGTGTACTTCTCTTTGGAAATGACATTTTGGGAGACAGGATTTCTTGTTTCCAGTTTGGTTCTTAAGTTCAAAAATATTGACAGGACGATCTGATTTAAAATATTACTCTATGGCTAATGTTACTGGGCTTTTCAGGTGAACATTGATTCCTTTGCCAAGCAATTTTAAGTCATTAATTTAGTCATTATGATGGATGCTTTATTCTCGGCTGCTATGTATTTTAATATTTGTATTATTTTAATTGTCTTTATTCTTTAAGTTTTGTTTGTTGCTCAGAGTCATTTGGTGAGGTGGCAGCCATACAAAATACATAAACAAAATACATAAGTAACAACTTTTAGTAGTCTCTGGGAATCTAGGCAACTTCAGCTTTGCTAACTTCAAGCAATATTTATAAAACTATCAAAATTGTCTCCTAAATCTTCTATAGAATTAAACTTGGTACTTGTTACTATAGTGCTGGATGATAACCTAGCCTCGTTCTAGTAACTGCTGTGACAAAGCGGAATTTTAAATGGTTCTCGAAGATGCTGGCTAGGGGGTTGTTTCTGTTTATTTTGCATTTAATTGTCATTGAAAGTCAAACATTCTGAAGCCAGGATTTTTGTTTGACGGCCTTTGCCCATCTCTGCAACAATCTTGAGGCTGATTAGAATTCTCAAGACAAAGCACAGTGAAACAAAAATCTGAAATGGAAGTTGGTTGGCTGTCTTCAGATTTTCTCCAAATATTTTTTTTGCAGAGATTTGCCTTGGCATATAGTCTAAACTTTGCATCAGTCTCCTTTTTAAAGCATGCCTTACTTAGGTTTTTGTCGTATTTTGTTTTCTTTCAACACTGCCACTAACACTGTATTACTTTATTGGAGCACCAAGCATCTTGGCAGCCAGCATCAGGCTATTAAATTATTTGGTTTGTCATTGTTTCTGGTGTTTTATGAAAACAAAAGATCTGACACCTTTCATCCTGGGATTCTTGTGACCATAACTTATGGCAGAACATATGCAAGTCCTAGGTTCAAACTGGCATCTCTAGATAATAATAGTTCAAATAACAAATAATGGATGTTAGGGGGAACTCTGCATAAGGCTCTGGAGCGTTTCTGCCCTTCAAACTATGTAATGTTTTTCTGGAAGGACAAGTGGTCTGATTTATTATAAGGCAGTTCAGACATTTACATAATTGTTAGCAAGAAAATAAACAATGCAACCTTCTGTGGTTAGGCTTTATCAGATGTATTAGTATTTGATTTTTTTATAAGAATGTACTGCTTTTCATTTTTTCTTTTATTCTGTATTGATGTTTTGGCCTAAGCAGCAAGTACGAAAAGTTTCATTTGCGTCTCATTGCATATCTGGTATTACACAATAAATAGTTACTTTTATAATTAAATAATAAAGTTTGAAACTGTATTTCATGAGTTAGTATAGTACGTTTCCTCATCTTACTTGGCTTATTTATATTATGAAATGTGAGTTTTATAATATATGATGCTGTACAATTGGCCAGTGATTCAAGCAGATACAGACTTATGGTTATTATTTTGAAGACCTCAAGTTCTCAGCACTTTCATCTTCTTTACTGAATATTATTACAACATTTCAAGTTTGGATTATAGACTCATCTTTCATTTACTGGAAATCTGGACTGTGATTTCCGCCTTTTCCATTTATTTCTAAAAAGTCCCAGTTTCCAAACACCAGGGCAGATACAAACTGATTCTCTCCATAATGCACAGGTCGGCAACCTGCGGCTCCGGAGCCGCATGCGGCTCTTTGAGCCTTCCCCTGTGGCTCCCTGCCTCCTCTGCCTTTGCAGAGAGAGACAGAGACAGAGAGAGGCAATTGCGCTTCCTTGCTTCTGTGTGTGTGTGTGTGTGTGTGTGTGTGTGTGTGTGTGTGTGTGTATGTGTAAAAGAGAGTGCACTCACATTGTTCTCCGAGGAGCTGAAAAGCTTACTGGGCGGAGCTCCTCCCTTTGTTGCGTCTCTGCAGGAAGCAGGAAGGGCAGGAGAGAGCTAGCTAGCCCAGCTAGGCTGACTCAGGAATTCTGGGAGTTGAAGTCCATGAGTCATAAAAGAGACGAGGTTGCCTACCCTGAGATTGTTGGAGAACAACTTGAAGCTTGCCAGGTGAGCAGCAGATGGGGGGGGGGGAGAAAGAGAGAGAGAGAAAGAGAGAGAGAGAGAGGGAGGGGGAGAGAGAGAGGAAAGAGAGAGAAAGAAAGAGAGTGGGGGAAGAGGAGTGGCAGACCAAGGGCAGAGAGGGAGGGAGGGAGAGAGACAGAGAGAGAGAGATCCTTTTGACATCTAAAATGAAGATAACACTGCATATATCCTTTTTTTACCTATGTGTGTATGTAATTTTATTCTCTTAAAGCATTCTCTCGGTGAGCATTGTTTTAATAGTATGGATATTCCCAAGAGTCATATTTTTACTTTTATTTTTAATGTGTGTGTGTGTGTGTGTGTGTGTATACACACACACATACACAAACACACTCTCTCTCTCTCTCTCTCTCTCTCTCTCACACACACACACACACACACACACACACACACACCTATAATAAAGATAAAAAAGGATATATGCAGTGTTATCTTCATTTTAGATATCAAAAGGGTTTTGCGGCTCCCGGTGTTTTGTTTTTGGTGGGAAACGGGTTCAAGTGGCTCTTTGAGTGTTTTGGGTTGCCTACCCCTGCCATAATGATTTGTGACATCCCATCCTATGTAGGAGAATGAGTGAACGTGAACAAAGGTCAAGTCTGTTACAATTAACAGGTTGGATAAATGTCTGCCGAACAGAGATGAATGAAAGATGATTGCTTTTCTTTAAGGAAGTTTTATTATTGCACTTAAAGGTCAATAAAGTCTGATGAAAATATCACATTTTGACAAATTATGTAAATGGAAGGCAGAGTGGAAGAATGGTGGCATTTGGAGTCAGTATAAGACAAGAAATTAACCTCTGTATAAATGTGCCTAAAAGGACCTCCTGTTGTTTCTACCTTCATTTATGTTACCCAATAAATGAACTGCAGTATGGCTTTCCTTTGACATATAAGAAGTCCCTCTGCATCAAGGAAATCCGCAAGAAGATCCTCTTGACATTCTGTATATTGTATAAATATTTAAAATTATCCATTATGTTCAATTATCAGTTCATTATATCTTATTTTGCATGCAACAAGATGAACCTATGAAAAGCGTAAGACTTCTCAGTTCACTGCAGACATTTGCAGAGTCACATTGCCTAAAAATGTTAAGGTTGGAAACTGTTGTTTTCTTCTCTCTCACACGCTTCCTCCCCTCCATCCCACTTTTTCTTGTACCAGGTATTCAGAAAAACCTTGGTAAAGATGTTTGAAGATGAAGAACTAGATTGTGTCTTTTTGGAGACAAATTTAAGTATAAGCAAACAATATCACATGGTATATGAATGTATTCCTCTCCCAAAGGAAGTGGGGGATATGGCTCCCATCTATTTCAAGGTAATCTTTTTTTATCATCTTTAGTTTTCTTTCAGTCCTAAAGCAATGTTGTTGTTGTTAGTTGCAAAGTCGTGTCCGACCCATCACAACCCCATGGACAATGTTCCTCCAGGTCGTTCTGTCCTCTACCATCTTCTGGAGTCCATTTAAGCTCACTCCTACTGCTAAAGCAATAGTAACCCTAAAATGAATTGTATGAAATTACTCATGATAATATTGTATTCAGGTTCTTAAATGATTTGTTTTTATAAGAAAGTTAGCCAAAACTAGTACAGGCATATCTCATTTTATTGTACTTCCCTTTATTGTACTTCCCAGAAACTGTATTTATTTATTTTTTACAAGACCTTCTACCAGCAAAAAGATTATGGCTCGCTGATGATAATTAGCATTTTCTTTTGGCAATATAGTATTTTTAAAGTATGCCACTACCTGGAAATAGTCATATTGAACTAGCTGTGGAGTTGGTATTATCTGCTTTGGTCCACTGCCCAGGACAAAGATGAAAAGCAAACTTTTTTTTCATGAATGAGACCCACCAGCAGAAGTGAAATATAGGATGTTTTAAAATGGAAACCAATTTTTTTTAAAGATGGTTGCTTTGGTTATGTTTGTTCAAACAGCCATGTTAAACCCACAATGTCTTTATATACTGTGCATTTTGAAGCAGTTTAAACTGCATGTAAAGATATTAGTAAATATGGGAGCTTTTACTGATGTTATGATTCTTTGGCCTGAATTTACTTTTTTTTTTTTTGAGATGATAGTAGTGGTGAGTGTGAGTGTGCATACACATAAGTAGAGTTCACATAATTGTCACAATTACTAAGGATCAATAGCATTTATAATTCCATAAAGTGAACCTTATTTTGAAACCATTTATGTCAGATTAAAGTTAAAATGCAGTTCTGAAACTGTAAAATAAAAAGAGAAAAGTACAGAGTAAAGTTATTACTACATCAGTCTTCATTATGCTTTAATCTAATACATAAATTGAATTATATATTTAATATGTACAAATGAAATTTCTGAGAGCCAGTTTGGTGTAGTGGTTAAGGTATCAAGCTAGAAATTAGGACACTGTCAGCACAAAGCCAGCTGGGTGACCTTGGCCCAGTTATTTTCTCTCGCACTGTTATGGAGGAGGCCGTGGCAAACCACTTCTGTAAAACCTTGCTAAAAAACCTGTAGTCTCTGAGAATCTGACACAATTGAACAGGGGAAAAAAAAAAAAAGAACTTGCAGTCTCCCTTCTGATTGCAATTTGGGGAATTGGGAGAGGTCCAAATAGAATTCTACTTTATGTCATACTTTGCCATTTTGTGAAAGTTTTATATATTCTTGCAATATTTTTTTTTCCAGAAAGCTATAATGGAATCAGATGAAGAATGGGCCATGAATAAAAAGCTAATTAATCTAGGTTCAAAAGATGTTCGTAAATCGGTATGTATTCCAGGCTCGTCTCTTGTCATGCAAAGCTGATTTCTACATGTGAATGTGAGCAATGCTTTAAAAGACTGTGTTTTTATATATATATAAAAAGACTACATAGAAAAATACATTAAATTAAATTGATGAAAAAAACATATCTGAATTCCAAGGCTAAATCTAACCATAGTAACTTGTATATTTCAAGGAAACTCTGAGATATATTAGTGGGAATACTTTTTAATTATCTTGTAAGTTCTTGAAGGTATCAGCTTTATTGGCAGATTTTCACTGTTTCAATTCCATGTGTCTTAACATATGTAATTACTCTATCAAGTCCCATTAAGTTCACTAAGAGTTTAGAGAAAGATGTATGGCTTGCATTTATATGCAATGGCTTATGGGAACTTGAATTGGGTTATATGTTATATGTTGAAATAATTTAAAATTTTCTAGCTGAAATTTTCAGCTGTATGGTTTGTTTCCTTCAGAAGAGCTATGATGCAGAATTGGGAAGAGAGGCTATTTTATTTAACTTTATTATCCTGCCTTTCTTCCGGGGGTTCAGTGCTGCTTATATAGAGAACATCTTTCATTTTTATTTTCTAAATAGCTACTCTGTGAGGTATTTGGGATCAAGAAATAATGATTAGCCCAAAGTCACTTACTTAGCTTCCATGGTGGAGGCTGGCCTTGAATCTTTAACTTTTCAAAGCCTCTTTAACTTTGTAACCTTTAAATCTATAACCTCTAATTTTAACTTGGTTTTAATTCATTTTTTACTCTGTTTTTAATTCTGTTTTTACATTGCTATATGTTTTTTTATTTGTAAACTGTCCAAAGTCATTTAGGTGAGATGGGCAATGTAGAAATTGGATAAATAAATCTAGTCCAAACACCTAAACCACTATGTTGGGAATTCATTGTTGGGAGTTCACTAGGTAGGGAAATCTAATTACTAGATCCATGGCAATCTGTCAATTGAAATGTCTCATCCAGTGTTTGTACAGACCTAGCAGCTATTATTTATCTTTCTGTAGCTCCTAATTCATAGTTCTTCTTCAGGGCAACTAAATATTCAGAGGTCTCCAAAATCAATCAGTCATATTCTTTCTCTCCCCCCCTCCCTCCCTTCCTCTCTTTCTCTCCCTCTCTCCCTATACAATGGTCTTGAGGTTTTGAGAAAATAGAAGATTCGAAATCATACAAAGAGCAGACTTTCTAGTTCAGGATTAAACAACATTTTGTAATTTTGGAAGCATGTCACGGATACTTTTACATGCGCAGAACTTGCCTATTTACAACAAGCCCTCATAGCTGACAGGTCTGCCAAAAAGCCACCGGTTTATTAGCAGGCAAATTAATGAGGTTGCCACCTGAATCATTGTGTTACAAGCCATAGAATGCTCTCCTCTCATTCCAGCATACCTTTTATCTTTTTTTTCCTGTGCTGATTTTATTTTTATAATACTTTATGTTGGTCACAAAAACATCATTAAACATCATTAAAAATAATACTGGAGATGTTTTCCTTTGCAGTGTATCTTTATTTCTATTGTTATCTTTCATACTAAGCAACCTTAGGCTGGGAAAGGAGCAATTAATAATATCACAGAAATTAAAGGTACAAGATTAAGATGGGCAAAAATGTTACTTATTCCCAGTTTAGTATACAGAGTCCTATCTACTGCAAATTTTTAAAAATATTTTTATTGGCACGTTCTCCTGTGTTATTTGACTTTATATAGAAGAAAAATGGGTGAGTTATGTAATGGGTTATTTAACCTCTTAAATCATAAAAGCATGTAGTAATGGTAGGCTCATTTATTTTCAGAATAAAAAGTAAAGTATCAACCTTCATTTCATTTTATAGTTGCAGAACTAAATTTCAGGGGTTAATGCTTCTACCATAAAATCATTTGTGTTTCTTTTTTCTTTGTTTGATATTACCATTTACTTTCTCTGGTTATTCTTCAACATTAAATTGACTATGGGAAGGTGAATTTTGCAAAGCAAATTTAAACTCAAGGTTTGGAAAAGAAATGAAGGCATGGTAACATGTCTAGCTAACATAGCTTTAAAATAGAAGCACATGTCTTTTGTTTGTACAGCAATGGGAGTGTGTGCTTAAAAGTGTTGATGAATTCTTAGAACACCCTCCCCAGATTATTGATATCATTAAGCCTGCTTTAAAAATAAATATTGGATGTTTGCACTGCTTGAGAATACAGGATGGCCATAGATAAGACATCCTGTATTTTTGAAATAGGTAGAGGTTTAGAAGTACTCAAGAATTAATCAATTTTTATTTGCTGTTGGTTCCCAACATTTTCTGAAATACTCTGGAATTTTTTTATATTATAATTCTAGACAGCTTCTTTTTTAAAAATTTGTCTGATGAAAGCTCTGATGATAGACCATGTAGGAGCAATTTGCCCACTGGGGGTTTCTTCCACCGTGTCTCCCATTTGTCATGGATTGTTAAGGAGACCAAGCCCACAGTGAAAAATTTTAGCTTTAGCAAGCTAGGCTGGAATCTCTATCCTACATTGACCTCCTTCTACTCACAAGTTTTATCAGAGAGTCCAACATTTTTGCTTACCTGACTCCATCAAAGAATAGTTGGAATACAGGCCAAACACAGCTATATAGAACACTATGTGCAATAAAGAACATTTAAAAACAATATTCCAAAAATATACAGTATTTTAAATGTTTATATGACAAATTATGTTTTTATGGACAAAAACCAAAGTTTCTCTGGCATCCCATGCAAACTCATAAAAAGCCCTGCCCATTTGGGATTTAGCTTGAATAAATTTGGAAACTTTAGAACTTTGGAAATGGCTTTGGAGAAAAGGACTACGAGAAAATTTTGAAGACCAGAGGAAGAAAGTGTTGCATTTTGCTCAGAAGTGGAAATTGTATGACTTCACTAAAAGTAAAGAATGAAAATATACTGCAGATGCTGATCCTGAAAAGTTAACGAATCATCACAATCTACGAAAGTCCTTTTATGGAAAAACTCCTACTGAAAATAGTAAACATGTTTTATAAAGTGAATACTGGAAGGGATAATAATATCTTAAGGAAGACAAAAAGTGGATAGAAGCTAAGATATTTGAGTCATGTATAAATCACATAAATAAATAAGCCAGCCATTAATTTAAACATTTTAAGGATTTGGAACTGAATATGTTTGAATGAAATAACTAATACGCTGTCTGATTTTTGTTTTATTTTTTTGTATTTAGGTGCCAAAAGGTTTGCCTTACTTCTGTGTAGATTTTGGCCTCCAAGGTGGTTTCGCTCATGTCATTGAAAATCAATTCAAGTTCCCTCATTACTTCGGAAAGGTATTAAAATGTTCAGTTTCTGTTTCTTAAGATTAGTGTTTCCTATGTATTTATTTAAGATATTTGCTGTATATATGGGCCAGGAGGATTACACCCCACAGTTTTATAACTATATTCTTTAGAATTACCTGAGGATACAAACATTGTTTCTTGTATCTGGGGTTTAATTGGTTGTTAAAGCAATTGAGCAAACCAATTGAGCAAAGTGAAAACTGTTAAGTATTTCCTTAAAAAATTTTTTTTAATATGGGTTTGTTATTTTTTTTAAAAAAGCTAATATATTCTATTCCTACAAGCGTCAGGAATAGATTCATAGAATAACTCCAGGTATGTTACCTAGTTCTGCAGGTGATGAACTGGGAATTATTTTAGTTCAAATCTATATTCCACCCCCAACTTCCCATGGCCTTTGGGAGATCTAGCATGCATAAAACATTTTAATGTGGTAGCCAGTTAGATGACTCATCTCTTCTTAACATGAAAAGCTAGAATGATTTTCTTCTGCTTGACACTCTTTGTTCGAACAGGTGTGGGTTTTTCTGGTTATTTAAAGAAAAATAATATTCTTTCCTTTTTTTGAAAGGAAATAATTGGTGGCATGCTAGATCTGGAACCACGGCTTTGGAGGAAAGGACTACGAGAAAACTTTGAAGACCAGAGGAAGAAAGTGTTGCATTTTGCTCAGAAGTGGAAATTGTATGACTTCACTAAAAGTAAAGAATGAAAATATACTGCAGATGCTGATATTTTCGATCCTGAAAAGTTAACGAGGCATCACAATTTACGAAAATCCTTTTATGGAAAAACTGCTGAAAATAGTAAACATGTTTTATAAAGTGAATACTGGAAGGGATAATAATATCTTAAGGAAGACAAAAAATGGATAGAAGCTAAAATATTTGAGTCATGTATAAATCATGTCCAATGTACAATATGTAGATATGTGTTTGAAGAAAATGTGAAGCCCTTATTTTAATGGATAATGAGTGTATCTTGTTAGCAATATTCCTGCTGTGTATTCTTTAATATTTCTCTGTTTTACATTATATATAAGCCTAATGTACACAATTGCAGTTTAAAAGAAAACTGATGTAATGTAAATTCTTTTGAAAATAATGGTGTAACTTTTGAATAAATGTATCCCAACCCTTAAACACAAAGGAAGACAATATTTCTAAAGTACTGTTTCTTAAAAATGTCAGGGTTACTAAAGATTTGTGTTTACATTTGTATGGAATCTTGTTTCCTATTTTTTTTTTAAACAAATAAGGGAGTAATTATTAAAAGTAGCATTTTCTCTCCTAAAATGGACCCATAACCACAGACTTTTAGAAAGATTATTGTATGATAGTATAAAAGCATAATGAATGGTTGAGGGAGCTAGGTAATGTCTAGCCCAGTGTTTCCCAAACTTGACAATTTTAAGGCATGTGGACTTCAACTCCCAGAATTCCACAGCCAGCGTTGCTGGCTGTGGAATTCTGGGAGTTGAAGTCCTCATGCCTTAAAATTGTCAAGTTTGGGAAACACTGGTCTAGCCTATTGAAGAAAAGAATTAGGGGGGACATGATAACTGTCCTCCAGTAGTTGAGGGGCTCTCACAGAGAGGAGGGGATTGACTCATTCTCCAAAGCACCAGAGGACAAGACAAGAAAGCTTGTTAAAGAGAGATAAACCTAAGAAGAAATTTTCTAAGAATGAGAACAGCTAATCAATAGAATACAAGTAGTCTCAAATTACTATCACAATTGAGCCCAAAATTTATGTTGCTAGGTGAAACATTTGTTAAGTGAGTTTTGCCCCATTTTTTATGACTTTTCTTGCCACAATTATTAAGTCAATCATTGGAGTTGTTAAGTTAGTAACACGGTTGCTAGCTGAATCTGGGTTCCTCATTGATTTTGCTTGTCAGAAGGTCACAAAAAGTGATTACATGATCCCAGGACACTGCAACCATCATAAATATGAGTCAGTTGCTAAGGCTGGCTGAGGAATTCTGGGAGTTGAAGTCACAAGTCTTAAAAGTTGCCAAGTTTGAAGACCCCTGTTCTAATGTATAGTCTGCATTAAATGATCATCTGAGCTCAAATACATTGCGTCTTCATTTACATTACATTTGGCCTATACACTGGCTACAGTCTGATGACTTGCAGTTTTTCTCCTTTTTTATGAAATTTATGTCTTTACTAGGAAAATCTGGACTGGAAATGGAAAGTTACTTTTCCATCATGTAACTGAACAGTCATTGCCCAAGGCAGTCACTAATTAAAGTCTACCAGATGAATAAGCAGTTAACCTAACTCTAAAGAAATATATACTAGAACCTCAATTTTGCACAAGTAAACACAGTCAATGGACTTTAGATGAAACAGATAAAATCTGAATGTGGAATATTTCTCCAAACAATGGATAATCCTCACTGTTTAGTAATAAATCTGGATAAAGCTAGTAAATTTTACATACATTCAGATTTAATGGCCATTTGACTTTAACAGATACCTGTTTCTCCTGCATGCAACTGGTTCATAAATTGTTACTATAGATTGTTCATAGATTGTTACTATAGTATATATTAATAGAATCTACTCCAAAAGCTTTAGTTCCTTTTCATTCCTATTTGGCTTTAAGGTTACATCCTGGTTGCCTTTAATGATGATATGAATTTACATTTTGAGTTTCACTGCACAAAAGTGAGTCACATTAGTTGTTCAATATGTACCAACTATATTTCTCCAGGAACTTAAGAGATAGATCTTTCTTAGGTTCCTCCTGAAGATATTATTATTGTTGTTGTTGTTGTTGTTGTCGTCGTCTTTGGGCTTGGGATCCAGTGACTTTTACATAGAAAGTCTGTATTGTGTCTCTGTTATACCATCTAGTTTTTGATTGGTAAGCTTCCACGTTTCACTGTTTTGTATATATGCACCCAGACATGCTGCAAAGTTTTTCAGTGAGATGCATAATCTGATTTGATCTGAACATGTAATATTGAGCTCTAATATTTGGGCTCTAAAGTGTGCAAAAAACAAATTTATCCATCACATTTCTAAATGCCCTAAAAGATTTTAGATGCTTCAGAGATAATTGGCCTTAATTATGTACAGTATAAGATAACATTTCTGATGATGGACTCAGAGAATAGCAGGCCAATTCTTTGCACAGAATTTATTTTATTTAGCATATGGCTTATTATACCTGGATTTGCAATATATATTAACATTTTATCTAGATTAAAAACACAATAAAATATAAATGTTAAAAAGATCTATATTCGATTACCAGTGTCTAGGTCATCTATCCATTGACGCACAGCATCATTTATATCAGATACTGGATCGGTAAATGCTCTCAGCTTACAGCTGGTCACAATGTGATCTACAATTTGACATGGGATCCCGTAGTTACACTAAGGAGTGAATACTATGCCCCATTTGTACAGAAAGTACACCTGGTAAGCGCCAAGTGAGGTGCAAATTTAATTAAACTTAAATTTAGACTGAACATACTCTGTGACCATGGAATGGCCTTGATGGAGAGACCAGGAAGAAGAATAAAAAGATTGAAGGAATGTAATGGAGTGAATACCAGGAACAATGCTGTGGCTAATGCTGATGGCATAGTCAGAATGGTGAAATTGTAAATCAGAGTAGCCCTGTTTGGAATGATGTGTGGAAAGAAAACAAAAAATGTAATTCAATATTAGATAGGAAAGCTGGTGAGAAACTGAATATTTTGGGTTGGGTTTCAACTTCTGAAGGCAGCTCATCACAAAATCATTAGATCTTCCTGGAAACCTTTATATCTAATTCAGTCCTTACATACACAGGCACTTGGATTCCTCTGCATATACTTATTTGGAATTAAGTCTCAATTATTACAATAACTTCTGAAGAGATACACCAGTGTATACTCTATAGAAACTGTAAAAACAGCATTTCTTCTTGGAATTTTTGGAGGGCTCTGCCTCCAGAGGATATAAATCACCAGATTACATCCCAGAGTTCTGAAAGAGCTGGCAGATGTTATCTCAGAACTGTTGCACAACATCTTTCACAAATCCTGGAGGACTGGAAAAGGGCTGATGTTCCCATCTTCAAGAAAAGGAAAAAAACAGACTCAGGAAACTACAGAACAATCAGTTTAATATCAATACCTGGGAAGAGCCTAGAAAAGATAATCAAAAAACAAATATACAAACAACTAGAAGCAAACAGTCATAACTAGCAGCCAGCACGAATTTGTATAAAACAGATCATGCCAAACCAATCTTATCTCATTCTTTGATAGTGACCAAACTAGTAGACCAGGAAAACTCAGTGGACGTAATATACCTAGATTTCAGTAAGGCATTTGACAAAGTGGACCACAACCTACTCCTTGGTAAGCTAGAAAAAGGTGGAATAGACAACATCACCACCAGATGGATCTGGAGCTGGCTAACAAACTATACTCAATGAGTAGTCCTCAAGGGCACTACATCCACATGGAGAGAAGTAAGCAGTGGGGTACCACAAGATTCCGTCTTAGGCCCAGTACTCTTCAACATCTTCATAAATGACTTAGACGAGGGAATTGAACGGGAACTCATCAAATTCACAGATGACACCAAACTGACAGGAGTAGCCAACACCCCGGAAGAGAAACTCGGGATCCAAAAAGATCTTGACAAACTTGAACAATGGGTCCTATCCAACAAAATGAATTTCAATGTGGCGAAAAGCAAAGTCTTACACTTAGGCAGGAAAAAACAAAGGACAAATACAGATTGGCCTTAAAAACAGTAATCGTGAGACAGACCTTGGAGTCCTAGTGGACGATCACTTAACTATGAGCCAGCAGTGTGCAGCAGCAACCAAAAAAGCTAATACAATCCTGGGTTGTATAAACAGGCAATAAATTGTTTGTTGTATAAACAAACAATCAAGATCATGTGAAGTATTAGTACCACTTTATAAACCCTTAGTAAGACCACACCTCGAATACTGCAGCCAATTTTGGTCACCATATCACAAAAAAGATGTTGAGAGTTTGGAAAAAATTCAGAGAAGAGCAACTAAGATGATCAAAGGCCTGAAGACCAAAACATACGAAGAACAGCTGTAGAATTTGGGTTTGGCTAGTCTAAAGAAAAAGAAGAAATAGGGGAGACATGATAGCAGTATTCCAGTATGTGAGGGCTGCCACAAGGAAGAGGGGGCCAGGTTGTTCACCAGAGCACCAGAAGGAAGAATGAGAAACAATGGTTGGAAACTGATCAAAGAGAGAAGCAACCTGGAGTTAAGGAGAAACTTCCTGAGAGTGAGGACAATCAACCAGTGGAACAGCTTACTCCCAGAAATTGCGGATGCTCCATCACTGGAAATTTTCAAGAAGAGACTGGACAATCACCTGTCTGAGATGGTATAAGTTTCTCCTGCTTGAGCAGGGGGCTGGATTAGACCTCCAAGGTCTATTCTATTCTATTCTATTCTATTCTATTCTATTCTATTCTATTCTATTCTATTCTATTCTATTCTAGGATTGCTTTTTTTCTCAAGTAACTTCCTCATTTTCTTGATTGCTATTAGAAAGCATCTTCTGCTATTTGAATCATTTATTTCTCAGGAGAGCATGATCTTGTAGCGAATTAAAATAATAGATCTTTATGTGTTCATCTAACACCTGTAGGAATAAATGGCCGCTGATCTTGGAGGAGCTGGCTGCTGAACTGTGTGTGAAAAACAAATGTTCTTTTTTTTCCAATTAAGAAAAAAAATACTCAAAGGAAAATTGAATAATAAAGGGAGTTGTGGGAACATTTTACAAGTTTTGTTACAAATGCAGGTTATCCTGGACTTACAACCACAATTGAGCCCAAGATTTACATTGCTAAGATAGTTGTTTAGTGAGTTTTGCCTCATTTTATAATTTTTCTTGTCACAGTTGTGAAGTTAATCAATGCAGTTTTAAAGTTGATTAACACAGTTGTTAAGTAAATCGGGCTTCTCCATTGACTTTGCTTGTCAGGTCACAAAAGATGATCACAGGTCCCCAGGACTCTGCAACCATCATAATTATGAGTCAGTTACTAAATGTCCAAATTTTGATCACATGATACACTGGGAGTTCCTGTTGTATTAATTATAGTTCTACATATTCTGGTGAAGTCTAGATTGAGAAAGTATGCTTAACATCCTAGCAGAGGTCATAGGCAATTAGTCAATGCACTAGGCTAAGATTCACACATCCCT